CATTCTTTTTTCCTCTGTTTTTCTTTTTGCTGCCGCGATCCATTATTTAATTTCCTTCTCCTAGAGGCTGAAAAAGGTGAGCTACTTCTGCTGTTACTAGGGTTTTTTGTTTATTTATGATTATAAGTGAATGGATTTTTGCTTACCATTGTCTGTTATTCGCACCGGGACCCACACGCGCGCAGTGAAACACACTGTTTAGCTCGTCCGGACGCCCCCTCTTCTTCATTTTTCTGGTTTCATTCTCGTCCAGCCCCCTTCTTAACGGTTTTTCGAAGCCTTTTTTCGTTTTGAAAACACCGATGCACGCAGTTTCTTCACCTCAGTCGCACTAGTTTCGATCTTGTCTTCCATTTTTCATCATAATCTGGATTACCCAAAATTATCGTGAACTGTGCCTTTAATTACATAATACTACGCTGACTTGAACGTTTACCATGATTAATAGGTCTTAGCGCAATTGAAGTGCGCATTTGAACTTTATAGGACCCTGCGCGGAAAAGAAGTGCGATCCTAGCTTCTGGGAATTTAGTCATTTCGATGCTTTATTCTCTGCTGTTTATACTGCTCTTACGAGCCGGAAAAGTTTGTGCGTTGAAATCAGCTAGTAACCAAGTGTTATTTGCGCATCAGGTACAGCTCGGATGCTCAATGCTTGTTTTTGGGGTATCGTATAGTCAAGTACTGTTCGCTTGAATTGAGCCCTATCACTAACACAAGAAACCCCTCTATTTACTCGCTTATTCCGAACGTCGAAGTTCCTAATTGATTATCGCTAGTGAACGAATTCGCAAATGTTAGTGATTTTGCAATAAGATTCAATGAGATCGGTTCTATTTGATCAAATTTGAGCGCTGAACAGAGTGGCAGGCATCTCCGGGGAATAGGTCGATCAACTAAATTCTAGACTGTGCGCTGTCATACCATGAGATCGGGGCTCTAGCATGGATTGCTGAGTCAAAGCTTCAGTTACTTCAGAACCTGAGACGATTCTGATGACGGTCATCCCTTCTATGAATCTTCGAATTAAGTAGGAGGTATGGTTGGGCTGGAGTGATATTATCTCACAGAACGTGTAACGGCGATGAGTGGCTTCTTCAAGTCGTGGTACTCTATCTCTGTTGCGACATTCTTTTTTTTTTACAATGGAAATACTTATCGGAGAACTATGTTGACCACTTATGAGAAACCAGAATAGCTTTGTGATAAGCACGTTTGCAAAGAAAAAAGAAATAAATTGCGTCGTCGGTGTTCCAGTATTCGACAGCAAGTTGATACATCAAGTGTTTGGGTTACTGTTCTCTCTACTGTTTGTTGAACAAGTCATTTGAATATTTATGAAGAGCAGTTTTTGACAGCCCTGGCAATCCTTTTGGGAATTCCCACTGCTCATGCTTACCCGATTAAACTATACACAGGCTCGCTTTTGGGGGTGGTTTCGAAATATATCAGAATTTTTCACAAATTTTGTAGCTTGTTTCTGGCTCACTATCAATAACTCGGACCACTTCGGGACCTCACCCATGAGCATAATGCTATAGTTCAGGTTTTTCGGATGTTTCTTATCTTTTGTTCCCTGATATGTTTTCGTGGTGACGAATCGTTGTCCCGTTTCTGTTCCCAGGTTATCAGCAGTATTGGTATGTTATCGAATACGACAGGGTACGTCAACGGACGAGTTTTTTCACTGTAATAGCTCCTCCNTTCTTTTTTGAATATGCAGATTCTGCTGCTACGACGCTTGATAGTATTTACAGATTCCTCACCATCCTGCTAGTACCCAACGCTGCTGTAGAGTCAGAGTAGGACGCCGGTAATATTTACCGGAATGACCTGTACTAGTAGTCATTCTCACATGCTCACTGGTACTTACATTCGTGTAACAATATGTTTAGGTTAGGTTATGTATCATACCCACTTTTGCCTCTTTCGCAACAGCCGGGGTCAATGCGGGAATTGTAGGGTCTGCAAAATCTGCTGGTATGGAAGGTCAGGTTCCAGGCAGTGCTTTAGAAAGGTACCCCGTTATTGCGTTGTCTGAAGCATGTCGGTTCTAGCACCGTGTACATTGTACCCAGTCGCGCCCTAGTGTTCCGAAGGAGTATTGAAGAAAACAGCACAGTCACATCTTTTGAATGGGCGCCTATAGCTCTGCCAAATTTCCCGTTCTTTTTAGTTCTTACTGTTTGGTAAACAAAAGTTTTCAAGTGATCCCCAGTGGACTCAATCACTCGCAAACAATTCGCTTTTGATCAGTTTGAAAGTCTTCATGAATTTTCGTGGAAGCAGCTTTTTTACTGATTCCCCTAGACATTTTACTTTACAACTCATTTGTGCGCTTTTTCTGCAGAGGTATCCTCAAGAAAAAGGGTTAACTCTTGAACGCTAAGGCAAATGGGTTCAAGAGTTAACCCATATGCTTGAGGACTGACCTATTGGGGAAGTGGCATTACATAGTGACTGATTCTAACTGTGCTGCTCTATAACAGGATCTGTAAAGTAAGGTCGCTGCGTAGAGGCATTTGCCTTTTTCGGTTTGATTGCTCAACCACTGGCTTGAGCCTTTTTCCCTTTAATGTTTCGCAACTTCGGGGCTGAAAGTGCGAGGCACGTACTATGCAAATACGATTTCGTTTCCCTCATCGGTTTATGGTCCATTGACAGTCTAGCATTGCTCAGTTGGGCGCCATCTCCTGCGCTATTTCGTCTCGCACAGTTTTATCTCAGCAACTTCTTTCCCAAACACGGGAAGGAACTGCGGCTTGAAGCGTTTTGCAATTCTTATTACAACGTGTTGAACTTCGCTTGAAAACTAATCTGCTACTGCTCAAACCATTCGATGGACTCATCCTTACTCCACTTTTTGTATTTAGTTCCTAGTCTTTTAGGTTACTTTATTACTATCATCTGGATTCAATTATTTGGCGGTTTAGGTTGATGTGCTAGGAAATCAGTTATTTGGAATTCGAGTTCCATCATGGGTTTACTTATTAAAATTCAATTTCTTATAATCTTCGAACAGTACGGTTCCAGTGAAAGCATTTGGCCAATTCGACTTCATTATCTTGGAACCGACTCTGCCTTATAGCATAGATTTTAGGCACTCTCTGTTCTGATGACAGGTGTTTTCAGTGAAGATATGGTCGGTCCCGATCTTGGTAGTGACGATTCACCACGGTCGTCGGTGAATTCACATGAATGGGCTGCTCTACTGGAAGATGGCGCGGCGAATCAACGTGAGTGACAAAGACATTGAAAATGCTTTTTGAAATAATTCTCTTCCAGTGATTAGTTAGAAAGTGGTGATGGGGACAGTAGGGAGTGCACCCAATGTAACACAAGAGCGCGCGGTTGCGGTGCACTCAGTCCAAGAGGTAGAGAGGTTGTGAGAAAATGCGCCTTGTTTTAAGCATTTATGATCTGCGATTTACTTGTTTTCTACTATCTGGGTGGCGCGTATACTACCTTACGGTCGGTGTGAGTCTGCTATTGCGAACCATCGGCTTAGGCTGAATCTGATGCTGAGGTTATAAAATGACCTGTTCTTTATGAGCGTTTCCGTCGGACAGCTTTTGCACACCTTTGTTGTTTCCCTGACTCCTCGCCTTCTTGCATATTGGATAGAGATTTTTTGAGATGGAATGTCAATTTATAACTTTTTAGAGCTCCTACGGCATGCCCAAGATTGCTTTGAGAAATTGCAAGTCTACGTTGACAAAGCCGTACAGGCTCGGATGATGGTGAGCGTTTATTTGTCGTAGTACTTTTCCATCCATGATTCATTGGGCCAATATTATCAAAGGGTCAAAACGCCGCTACGGTTCTGATTGGAAGTCTATTGCGGGAGCATATCCTTCTTACGGGATTGGATAACGTCCAAAGGCATTACCTTTCATCTCTTATGGTCGATAAGCTGCCTATCAGTGGGTGACCCTTTGTATTACTATTGAGTGATGATGGGTAGGGTACAGGACCGTCCTTCTCAGTTTGATCTTAATAGCCCCAATACGTGGAAAAATGAAGTTGGGCGGAGTAAACGAAAGGAATTCCAACTGGAACATCAAAAAACATTTCTACTGACTTTGCTTCTCGCTGGCGCTGGAGAGAACCTTTGTATTGTAGTTTCAGACCTACTCAATCAGGGCTTCCTTTGAAGAGGTCGTTTTCGACCGTTTGGGTTGCATCCCACTCCAGAAGTTTATTCAATGGGTTCACGACTAGGAGCATTTCTCAAAGACCCCTAAAAAACAAAAAAAAATGCAGCAAATACACAGAGCAGGCCCCCTTTGCATAACGTCGGCTAGCGATGAAAGAAAATATTTAGACGAGTTTCCATCACTGCCGGATTGATTTTGCAGTTGCTTTAGCGAATGGCAGCCCAAGTGTGTTCTATTTACTTTACTTTTTACTGCAGCCAAACATTTGGAACCATCTCATGACGTTACTCGGCGTTACATATGCGCTGCACCGTTCACTCCACTGTGGACACTTCACCTTTTTATGGCTTTCTAGGAGAGCGCTGATGGAAGAAGCATTTTGAACGAATTTGAACTATTTTGCGCTCTCTCTTCGTCGTTTTTCGCGGCTGATAACACGGCTTATNAGGCCCCCTTTGCATAACGTCGGCTAGCGATGAAAGAAAATATTTAGACGAGTTTCCATCACTGCCGGATTGATTTTGCAGTTGCTTTAGCGAATGGCAGCCCAAGTATTGTGTTCTATTTACTTTACTTTTTACTGCAGCCAAACATTTGGAACCATCTCATGACGTTACTCCGCGTTACATATGCGCTGCACCGTTCACTCCACTGTGACACCTTTTTATGGCTTTCTAGGAGAGCGCTGATGGAAGAGGCATTTTGAACGAATTTGAACTATTTTGCGCTCTCTCTTCGTCGTTTTTCGCGGCTGATAACACGGCTTATCACCTTCCCGTTCCGCGGGTCACCCCAGTTTTTTCCCGGTTGGTACTGAGAAAGGCGATTCGAAGACTCGAAGGAAATGAAAATAAAAAGTCCAGTAGTTCGCTTATTCAAGAAAATTTGTTGAACATTTTTCAGGCGTCTTTGGACTTTTAATTCTTGCCAGTTAGTAAGCGATCTTTGACTGTTCTTGTTCAGGTGGACGAATCTTCGATGACTGCGGAGCATAAACGCATAGCGATGGCACAGATGGAGAAAATGACCCAGAAAATTGTTGAAAAGTTGATACCAGGAGCAAGGTGAGGACGGTTTTACACGATAATCGGAGCTTCTTGGGTTGGCCTCTTTTCGAACCGTCACTTTTCATTTGAAACTTCTCTTACTTCTACTTACTCCAAATTAGCTGGATTATCTTGCAAATCGCAGAAACACTTTCAAATTTTTGAAATGATTTCTTCCATAGAATTGCAACTGATTAGATCGATGTTGCGGGAAGGTTGAGTATTGATGCACCAGAAGTGCCAGATCTCCTGAGAATAACTTCAAGCTTACCTATACTAGGGCTGCCTTTTATATTTCGGGATTTGGAAACACTAGTGTAGCAATCTAGCAACTGACACCACTATCGTAAAGTTTGAATATTTTGAGGTTCCGTTGCAAAATTTGAGCGCGATTTGTGTTGTTTACAC